ACACACTATGAACAACACACCACGTGTATACACACACACACACACACCATGAACAACACACCACGTGTATACACACACACGCACACACTATGAACAACACACCACGTGTATACACACACACGCACACACCATGAACAACACACCACGTGTATACACACACACACACCCTATGAACAACACACCACGTGTATACACACACACGCACACACCATGAACAACACACCACGTGTATACACACACACGCACACACCATGAACAACACACCACGTGTATACACACACACGCACACACCATGAACAACACACCACGTGTATACACACACACACACACCATGAACACACACCACGTGTATACACACGCACACACCATGAACAACACACCACGTGTATACACACACACGCACACACCATGAACAACACACCACGTGTATACACACACACGCACACACCATGAACAACACACCACGTGTATACACACACACGCACACACCATGAACAACACACCACGTGTATACACACGCACGCACACACCATGAACAACACACCACGTGTATACACACACACGCACACACCATGAACAACACACCACGTGTATACACACACACGCACACACCATGAACAACACACCACGTGTATACACACACACGCACACACCATGAACAACACACCACGTGTATACACACACACGCACACACCATGAACAACACACCACGTGTATACACACACACGCACACACCATGAACAACACAGCACGTGTATACACACACACGCACACACCATGAACAACACACCACGTGTATACACACGCACGCACACACCATGAACAACACACCACGTGTATACACACGCACACACCCCATGAACAACACACGTGTAAATACACACCCCACGTGCACACTACACCATATGTAGAACAGCACACACACAGCACTAAGCGCTCACGTGTACATAAGCGCTCACTTCACGTGAACTCTACACTACGTGTAAACACACACACAGGACGCACACACGCACACACAAACACGTGGACACACATTAAAAAAAACACACCTCACAAATACTGTGTATACAAATACAAAAATCCCCCGTATAGCCTGAACGGACTGTTGGGGCAAGTGCTGTAAGCGAGTAGCACCTATTAAGGCCGAGACGGCACACGCCCGGTCGCCTTTGTCTCCCCAGTGACGATGTTTACACACCGCACCAGGTACTTATTTGATGCCGAGTCGACCTAGGGGAGGTCCAGGACCACTTCAGATAATCGTCACTGGTGTTGGCCTTGAGCGGGAATCGAACTCGGCTCTCCGGGTTCGTAGCGCAGCGTAGCGCTAACAGCAGCACATAGAGACAACAAAGCTCCCCCGTGTAGCCTTAACAGACTGTAGGTCAAAGGCCGGCACGGCACACGAGGGGGTGGGTGGCCAACACCACGCCCGGCCGCCTTTGTCTCCCGAGTGACTATGTTTGAGGCTGAGTCGACCTAGGGTGAGGCCCAAGACAGGTTCAGATAATCGTCAACGGTGTTGGCTGCATATATAGACACGCACACGTGTACACACCACTCTCGTGTACACACTCACACAATCAGTTCACCTGTACACACCACCCTCGTTGTACATGCACACTCACAATCAGTGCACGTGTACACACGCACACAACACCGCCAAGTCGGCCCTGTCCGTTGCCCGAGCCGCCGTGAGAGAGAGCGCACTGCGAGACGGAGCGTGAGAGAGAGCGTGAGTGAGTGTGAGTGAGTGAGCGTGAGTGAGAGAGAGAGCGTGAGAGAGAGGGAGCGTGAGAGTGAGAGAGCGTGAGGGAGAGAGAGAGCGTGAGAGAGAGGGCGTGAGTGAGTGAGTGAGCGTGAGTGAGAGAGAGCGTGAGAGTGAGAGAGTGTGAGTGAGAGAGCGTGAGAGAAAGCGTGAGAGGGAGTGAGTGTGAGTGAGAGAGCGTGAGAGAAAGCGTGAGAGGGAGTGAGTGAGAGAAAGCGTGAGAGAGAGGGCGTGAGTGAGTGAGTGAGCGTGAGTGAGAGAGAGCGTGAGAGTGAGAGAGTGTGAGTGAGAGAGCGTGAGAGAAAGCGTGAGAGGGAGTGAGTGAGAGAAAGCGTGAGAGAGAGGGCGTGAGTGAGTGAGTGAGCGTGAGTGAGAGAGAGCGTGAGAGTGAGAGAGTGTGAGTGAGAGAGCGTGAGAGAAAGCGTGAGAGGGAGTGAGTGAGAGAAAGCGTGAGAGGGAGAGAGTGTAAGTGATAGGGAGAGAGCGTGAGTGAGAGGGAGCGTGAGTGAGTGAGAGAGAGCGTGAGAGGGAGACAGCGTGAGAGGGAGAGAGTGTGAGTGATAGGGAGAGAGCGTGAGTGAGAGGGAGCGTGAGTGAGTGAGAGAGAGCGTGAGTGATAGGGAGAGAGCGTGAGTGAGAGGGAGCGTGAGTGAGAGAGAGTGTGAGTGATAGGGAGAGAGCGTGAGTGAGAGGGAGCGTGAGTGAGTGAGAGAGAGTGAGTGAGAGCGTGAGAGGGAGACAGCGTGAGAGGGAGAGAGTGTGAGTGATAGGGAGAGAGCGTGAGTGAGAGGGAGCGTGAGTGAGAGAGAGTGTGAGTGATAGGGAGAGAGCGTGAGTGAGAGAGAGCGTGAGTGAGTGAGGGCGTGAGTGAGTGAGTGTGAGTGAGAGGGAGCGAGAGCGTGTGAGTGAGAGGGAGTGAGTGAGTGAGATAGCGTGAGTGTGAGGACGAGAGAGGAGGGATGACCTCAGGAGGGCCTAATGCACGACGGCCATGGCGAGTGGGCGAGCCCGCTTAATACCGTGGCTGATTTTCATATCGATCGTGCGATGAGCGCGGGCAATAAGCGCGGCCACCGAGAGCGCCGGCGGTTAATCACCGCGCACGGGAACGCGCGGGGCGCGTGGCGTTTGTTTAGCCATTGAATGGGGGCTCGCCCCCCCCCCCCATCTTCCACTTCCAACTCAACGTCGAAAGATTTTGGGGAGCATTGTTATGTTAATTTTAGAGAGAGCGAACTCACTCCCTGCACCCCACACCCATCCCGTGAGCTGAAGAGCGTCCAGCGAGGGACACCTCGGAAGCCCCTGGGCGCCCGCAATCGAAGGCCGCCTGGCCACGTGCGCCCGTGCCGAGCGAGGTGTCCCGGTGTCGGCGTCTCGTGAAAATAAAAACAAATGGGGGGTGGTGGGAGGGTGGTTTGTCGATGTTGCGATTGAAAGCGCTCGCTTCTCCCGTCTGAGGTTTTCGGGGATTTGTTACGGCCGTTGCTTGGTGTTGTTGTTCGTCACGATGTCCCCACGTTTTCGTATCTATGTGATATGTCTGGGGAGGGGAGGGGGGGCATCTTCGGGGAACAAAATCCCCAGCACGTGGGAGTAAAACGTCGGGACATCGTGCCGAACAGACACTAGGGCCGCACACCCCGTGGTGATCGAGTCAACAACTTTCCCCAATCCCAACGAAGCGGCGAGTCGCCCGCCGCAGGAGATGATGGGGAGCAAAGCCTTCAAGGACTCGGCTCTCTTTCTCTCTCACCGATGGTGGAGTTCGTCGAGAAGTGACCAAGCGGAGGAGCAAACCCCCGCTACGCGTTCCCAGCAAATCGGTATAGACAGAAAAAGTTGGCGTCGAGCAAAGTCTAAAAATGCGACAATCGACAAAAAATGCCGCGGATTATGATGTAAATTTGTGCAACACTTAACCATCGTAATGAGAGCCCAGCGGTAAGTTGGGCAGTGCCAGGGCTGTCCGCTCTGCACTCAACCGGTGAAGCCACCAGAACGAGCCTGAGAAGGTCCACGAGAGGCGAGCTCGCCACCACACTGCTTTGTCACGGCGACTACAAAGCGAGGAGCCTGGAGGCCCCTGTGACACTCACTCTCAGGGAGTGCACGGGAGGGAGGGGGCTCACAGCAAAGTGAGCACTAACAGAGTCGAACAATGCGCACGCCGGCCAGGCCCTGCATGCGATCGATGCCCTAGAGCGGGCGACGCGACACAAGCAAACAGCGACAAGTCCAACGCCACGCACGAGCGCAGGCCTCGCGTTCTCTCCCACGCACGCACACACACACACGCACGTGTCCGTTCACGGGAGCCGTGCACTCCCTGCCCACGTCCCGTGGCTTCTAACCAAACCGTGCGTTCTTGCTGATAGAACAGAAAACTAGAGAGTTAAACCCTGGAGTGACAGTCTGCAGCTAGTGACATCGCAGCAGCAGCAACAATCATTTCACATCCGAGGCTTCCGCGCGATCTTTGCCCTGGCATCACGGGCAGCAGCAGCAGCGGCAGCGCAGCTCCCCGCACGCGCGGCCGGGTCTCGGCGTCTCTAACCCGCCCGGTCCCTCCGGACTGGGCCCCTCTCCCCACGGGGGGGGGGGGGGGGACCCTTTTGACGCTGGCTAGTAGAGGTCAGTCGGTCAGCGAGTGAGTCAGTCGGGCAGGGGTCCCCCCCCCCCGCAGTCTAAAACTGCATCGACAAATGCAACAACACAAAAAATCCACTCGACATAAGCCGAGCGGCGTTTGACTCGGCCCTGCGGCCAGCTCCACGTCACGCCACGGCGGAGTGGCTGTGGCTCAAGCGAACGCGGCACACACACTCGGTCCCCGCTCAGAAGAGGAAAAAAGAGAAGAGGGAAAAAAAACCCCACATCATTTGTCCATTTATCCCTCCATTTTACTTCCAATCTCCCCGACTGCCACTACATTTCGGTGCCACTGACAATTTGGGGGAATACAATGCAGAAGGCCCGGCACTTTCCCCTAAACTATAGATCTATCGATCCCCCAGCTCGCTCCCAGAGCATCGAGAGCAGTTGCCAATCCGTGCTGCAAGAGGCGCCGGCGTCGGCGTATCTGAGCGATCGTGCACAACACACGGGGCGAAGTCAGCCCCCGCGCTATATAGCGTCTAGCTCTGCCCCTGCCAAGAAGCTCCGAGGCTGGAGACCCGAAAACCCATTCAGCTAAGAACTTGAGGGAGAAAAATCATCGTAAAAAGTAAAGCCGATGCGATCGTTGGGTCTCCGCGCTGACACCCCGCCGCGATCGATCGGCCTCTTACCGGCGGCGCACGGCTGGGCGAGCGCTCCTCCCTGGGCCGCCCGGCTCACAGCTCGCTGTGCTCCCGGGCCGCGCTCGCCTCGGACGCGCCGCCTCTCCGCATCATCTCTCTTTCTTTCTCTCCTCTCTCTCTCTCTCTCGCGCTCTCTCCCTCTCGCGCTCTCTCTCTCGCTCGCTCTCTCTTCCCTCTCCCTCGCTCTCTCCCTCTCGTATCCCCTCCCGCGTGCTGTCCGCTCCCCCTCGCTCGCTCCCTCTCTCCTCGCTCCCCCCGACTGTCGCCGCTCGCCGCGCCGCTCGGCGCGCCGTCCGCGGGGCTCCTCGCCCCGGAGAGGAGTCGCTCCTCCCTTCGCCGCCGCACGCGCGGGGAAGCCTTCCTCGCCCTGCTCGAAGCGCTAGCGCCGGATTAAACGCGTCCCCGCGGCCAGCTCGCGGGAGGCGACGTGGTAAGGTGGTGGCTCTGCTGCTGCTGCTGCCGGCGCCAGGTAAACCCACGGCACCACCACCGCCACTACTACACGTACAGTGCGCGCGGGCGAACGAGCGGGAGCCGGGGACTCGCAACTCGAGAGCGGCGCGGTCGTACGCGGAGCCGCTCGGCGCGGGCCACGCCGCAGCCCCGATCCCGTCTGCCCGCTCAAGTTAGTTTAGACGCGAGGGCGAGCTCGAGGGAGGCGAGCGGTAACAGCCCTGGGCCACGTCGGGACGCGAGAGGCCGATCGCAACCCGCGGCTCGCGGCCGCGAAGACCCCCGGGGAAGCTCGACTCGGGCGAGGCGAGCGGCTTTGTCGCGGCGCGGACAAGTTGGGCGTTCGCAGCAGAAGTGCGAGCGGCGGAGAACGAAAAACAAAACGACGCGAAGAATGAGAAGCAGGAAATAAAACTTACTCTTTTCTCTTCATCTTCCTTCTTTGGTAAGCGAGCGGCGTGAGTGAGTGAGGAGTGAGCGGGTCCCCCGGTCGAAGAATCCCCGGGCACAGCGGCTCCGGATCGCGCCCCGCGACGCCGCGGCTGCCAACCGCGCGGCGACTGGAAGGGAAGTGCAGAGATGAAAATCCGATATCTTTATTCTGCTAATTATTTTCCATGCAAAATGGCTGAGCGCGTGCACTGCGCATGCCCTCATTACCGAGGCACGCCGGGAAGGAGCAATTAGCGAGGTGATCAATATTCAGTAGCCCCCGCCAGCAGACGCTTTGAAGTCGGGGCGGCGCAAGTGACACGGCTCTAATCGCCGAGAGTCGAGGAGCGCGGAGCGAGAGCGCGCAGGCACAAGACGACGGCCGTCGGCGCGATCGCGCTACGGAATTTCGTCCCAAAGTGCAGTTCCCCGTCTGCGTGGTGTTTCTCGGTGACAGTTGCGGCGCCGGTGCTTAGGCAAAGTTGAACGTACGCGGATCGGCAAATGGCACGCGGCGCAGTGTCCGGCCAAGCGTCCACCCTCGCTCATCTCCGAGCGAGCGTCTAGTCGCCCAGGTGCATCTATAGGGGGCTTCGGTTGTGACGAGGGTTATTATTTTTTATTTTGTGTCATTCGCGTTCTACAGTAATTGTCGCCTGCTAACTACGCCCTGCTTGGAATGCGTTTAAAGCTTCAGCGGCGAGGCTCGCGTTAAGGGGGAATTGGCTCTTCCCACAGCTCCGTTTTCACAGTAGAAATTGAACACGGGGGGGGGGGGGGTGTGAAGAAACCTACTACTTTGACACTCTTTGTGGCGTGTCTCTCGCCCTCTAAAACACAAGCACCGTCGCCTTGGCGGCGGTGACCACTACCACCCCGCCAGCGTCCAGGCCACGACCCGGGAGACGGATCACCCGGCACGGAGCGCGGCCGCACAGGCCACCGAATCTTGTTTAGGCACAAACGCGAGCGTTGATTTATTTAAAGTCGCCCTTATTTCTCCCCCCTCCCCAGACGTGTATTTCGCATATTTTCAGTACCGAATATTGACCCAAATTCCCCTTATAAAAATGCGACGCTAATTTATATTTTTTATTGGAATAATAATTATGTAAAAAAAACACGAGTAGCACAAAAGGTGACAGGCGTCCGCGGCAATAACAACAATAACAACATTCGGGGCCACTTTACACTTGCAGGTCTCATTGTAAGGTGTAATGCGAGATGTTGGTTAATGTTAACGCGACTTGAAGTTACGTTGTCGTCTTTGTGTGGACAGTGGGGTGCTGCGCGTCGAGTTGTTTTTAAAACCGCGGGCAATTTTGCTCGCACATCCCCCAGGTTTGTAACAAATCCCGGAGTGATGCTTTCGCGAGCAGCAATCGGCCGCAGCATTAAGACCACGGTCGCCGCGTGGCGTACACGGAGGGCCTCGATCGACAGCGATAACACAAAGCACAGACATAGACGGTGCGCGCACGCCTCGGTTTTGCTTGACACGCTTTGTAAAAACAACAACAACGACGACAACGACCGCGTGTGAAGTGCATTGCAACGACGCTGCCAATTGATGCGATACCAACAACAACCAGCTCGACCACCGTGCAATTCGGAGGCGTCGCCTGCCCGGTATATTAACATCGGGAACGCAAACAAGCAGTCTGCTCCGTTTGAATAAAAAAAACCCCTGTAAACCGCGTTAAGGGCTCACATTTGTAATACACAGTCGCGCTATTTTGCCTATAAACATGCCGCTCCGATGGCTTGATTTTCTATACCGTTCCGGGTCAGGTAGCGATGATTGAGTGGCGCCCTCTGTAGATTCGAGACGAGTTGCAGTCAACATTGTCGCACCTTTCTGTGCGCCTTGGTGTGACGATCACCGCGCAAAGGAGCGGACGCGAGATTGTTCCCTCGCAGAACGCAGCGCTGAGTGAGAGGCCCCGCGGGTTTGTGCTCTCGACTCGCGGCTGTTGTTGGCGGCGCGAGTCGGGGACGTGGGGGGGGGGGGTTCTGGTGCCGAGGCCGCTCGGCGCCGAGTGGCGCGCCCGTCGCGGAGGTTGTCACGACGCGAGAGCGCACGCGGCCTTAGAGAGAGAGACAAGGACGTCGTACGGAGGAGGCGGCCGTTTTGTTTGCAAGAAATTGCTACTCGCGTGTGTGAGAGCACTGGACAGGTGCACTGGTGGTCGAGATCGCCTACTCTGTTTGATCTTTAACAAAAAACATCGTGTTTTGTGCGTCCGCTTTGCGTTGTGTAACCAGCGGCACCGCTTCCTCTCTGCTCGCATTGTCGTCTCTACAATAAAGGCCGCCCCCCCCATCATTCCCATGTCTGTCCGGAACGCACCGTGTCAGTCACAGCCCCGCGAGGTGCAATAGTCCCAAACAGCGCCGCGGTAACACACTCCGAGAGAAAATAATCAATGTCTTTGGTCGAGAGAGAGAGCGCGAGGGGGAAAACCCCAGACCACAACTTGAACTCACCTTGAAGTTTGTGTCCGATGGCGCGGCGCGCCAGCAGCTAATTTTCCACAGAGACCTCGGCCGGGAGAACAGAATATTTCGGCTCGTGAATGTTAAAGAGGCTTCTGAGGAGTGGCCCGTGTGTCCGCGGTATAAGTACAGATGTGTTACAGCACCGGGACTACGGATGAAAGCCGCTATTCCGACGGAGGCTGGGATGCCGCTATCGGCCAGTAATGAGGCGGCCTCGCTCTATTCGGAACGAACAGGCGGGCGGACACGACTGCGCCGCCGTCAATAAATTAAAATGCGTTACGTACAAAGGACCGGGAGAAATTGCCGTTATGTAACTCATTTCCAGAGCTCGCTCGTAAGATTTTGAAATGAACTTATGACGAAAAGCACCCCCCCCCCCACACCGCTCGCCCTGGACAGTACCGGAGATAACCGCGCGTGCCCCGCGCCGACGGAATTGTGTCGTTGGTCTCTTAGTCTAAATTAATATTTATACACGCTGGCCCGCGTCTCGCACGTCACCAAATTACGTGATTGCACACACTTATAATAAAGGCGCACGGTTTTAATGCGTGAATGCGCGCGGGGATCCGGGCCCCGAATGTGGCCCAAATCTGCGCCTCGCCAACTCGACGCGAGCGCGCACTGAAACTGCACGCGGGGCCGCGGCTCAAATACCGACGCGTCGCCCGACGCCGCCGCCGCCGCCTTTACGCTCTTGATTAAACCGACGGATGGGAAAGAAAATGTAACAAAAAATTAAATAACAAAACATTCCTCTGATACGTGAGATGAGGGCGGGACGTCCGCCCACCTCCCCGATTAATTAACGCCGCTCATTTGTTTATTTTACTTTCTTTCTTGCACATTTTAACTAACTGCGAGCCACGCGATTGCGCCAGGATGGTATTCGCCCGGCCGAGGTGTCCGCCCAATCGGGAGATGATTTGTGTTGTTGTTGTTGTTGTTGCTGTTGCGCAATTGTGTGAGCGACGGGAAGGTTTCGTGTAATTTAGGCACCGCGAGGTGCGAGGTGGCCGAGGTGGATGGAAGTTCGCACGTTACCGCCTCCTGATAACCGCAATCACGGACACGTGGCCGCAATCACTGCACGCCAGCGATGCTCTGATTGTTTCGCTAATTACGGAATAATTAGCTACCCATTGTATTTGTCTTTTAATTAAATTACACAAAAGTTTACGGGATATGTTCGAGGGATTTTTTTGTGTGTACGAGGCTAACGGACATTTTATTATTTATATTCGCAAAACCGATGTTGCGTGGCACGCGCGCGTGTGTGTGTGTGTTTGCGTGCGTTACACACACACGTTCTGACGCATCACACTTGCGCGCCCAATATCGTGGGCGCGGGGCGAGGCGGCGTGGTGCGCTTCCCCCGTACACGTTTACACGAACAGCTGCATCGGCGGCAGCGCGATGCAGATTCGGTCATTGCAAAGGGAACACCGGTCCTGGTGTTAATCACCACTCATCAAGGGAACTTTTTTGAAAAACAAAAAATGCGTAATCGCTCTGGCAGGCTCCCGGGGGCGTGGTCTCCACGTAACCAACGAACACGTCACGCACGAACCCTCAAAACTTTCTGACTCGGTCGGGTCACGAGTTGGACGGATCACGAGCTGAGCGGGTCACGGGCTGAGTGGGTCACGAGCTGAGTGGGTCACGGGCTGAGCGGGTCACGGGCTGAGTGGGTCACGGGCTGAGCGGGTCACGAGCTGAGCGGGTCACGGGCTGAGTGGGTCACGGGCTGAGCGGGTCACGAGATAAGCGGGTCACGGGCTGAGCGGGTCACGGGCTGAGCGGGTCACGAGCTGAGCGGGTCACGGGCTGAGTGGGTCACGGGCTGAGCGGGTCACGGGCTGAGTGGGTCACGGGCTGAGCGGGTGACGGGCTGAGCGGGTCACGGGCTGAGCGGGTCACGAGCTGAGCGGGTCACGGGCTGAGTGGGTCACGGGCTGAGTGGGTCACGAGCTGAGCGGGTCACGAGCTGAGCGGGTCACGAGTTGGACGGGTCACGAGCTGAGCGGGTCACGGGCTGAGTGGGTCACGAGCTGAGTGGGTCACGGGCTGAGTGGGTCACGGGCTGAGCGGGTCACGGGCTGAGCGGGTCACGAGCTGAGCGGGTCACGAGCTGAGTGGGTCACGGGCTGAGCGGGTAACGAGTTGGACGGGTCACGAGCTGAGCGGGTCACGGGCTGAGCGGGTCACGAGTTGGACGGGTCACGAGCTGAGTGGGTCACGGGCTGAGCGGGTTACGGGCTGAGCGGGTCACGGGCTGAGCGGGTCACGGGCTGAGTGGGTCACGAGCTGAGCGGGTCACGAGCTGAGCGGGTCACGAGTTGGACGGGTCACGAGCTGAGCGGGTCACGGGCTGAGTGGGTCACGAGCTGAGTGGGTCACGGGCTGAGTGGGTCACGGGCTGAGCGGGTCACGGGCTGAGCGGGTCACGAGCTGAGCGGGTCACGGGCTGAGTGGGTCACGGGCTGAGCGGGTCACGGGCTGAGCGGGTCACAGGCTGAGCGGGTCACGAGCTGAGCGGGTCACGAGCTGAGTGGGTCACGGGCTGAGCGGGTCACGAGATGAGCGGGTCACGGGCTGAGCGGGTCACGGGCTGAGCGGGTCACGAGCTGAGTGGGTCACGGGTTGGACGGGTCACGGGCTGAGCGGATCACGGGCTGAGCGGGTCACGAGATAAGCGGGTCACGGGCTGAGCGGGTCACGGGCTGAGCGGGTCACGAGCTGAGCGGGTCACGAGCTGAGTGGGTCACGGGTTGGATGGGTCACGGGCTGAGCGGGTCACGAGATGAGCGGGTCACGGGCTGAGTGGGTCACGGGTTGGATGGGTCACGGGCTGAGCGGGTCACGGGCTGAGCGGGTCACGAGATGAGCGGGTCACGGGCTGAGCGGGTCACGGGCTGAGCGGGTCACGAGCTGAGTGGGTCACGGGTTGGACGGGTCACGGGCTGAGCGGGTCACGGGCTGAGCGGGTCACGAGATAAGCGGGTCACGGGCTGAGTGGGTCACGGGCTGAGCGGGTCACGAGCTGAGTGGGTCACGTGTTGGACGTGTCACGGGCTGAGCGGGTCACGAGTTGAGCGGGTCACGGGCTGAGCGGGTCACAAGCTGAGCGGGTCACGGGTTGGACGGGTCACGGGTTGGACGGGTCACGGGCTGAGCGGGTCGCGGGCTGAGTGGGTCACGAGCTGAGCGGGTCACGGGTTGGACGGGTCACGGGCTGAGCGGGTCACGGGTTGGACAGGTCACGGGCTGAGCGGCCCAGTGACACGGGGGCTCGGAAGCCCTCGCTAATGACGCGGGCGGCGTCGCTCCGTGCGACTCGCGCCTCTCAAAAGTCACGGCAGCCGCGATCCCACATCGCATGATCCATCCCCACTCACCACACATCGTTCACGTCGTTAGCGTTGCAAGGCCGATCCATGTATAGATGCCCGACCGAATTTGAATGACCCAGAATTACTTTCTTGTTAGTGACGGCTCCATACCCCACGGAGCAGATTGTTAAACGGGGTGATATGTGCACGTTGTGTGGAGGCAGATAAATTAAGTGTCCTTGTGTCAATATTTTCTCCCTATTATTTAAATGGGGGCATCAGTATGTGGATCACCATGTGTATTCATCGCCCTTCGAATAGCAGCGCACCTTCGCCACGATCGCCGCATTCATTGTCACACACACACTTAACTCTCTATCTCTCGATGAATATCTGTTCCGGGTCGCTGGCGAACTGGAGTCGGTATAACCACCGCAGGCAGGTGAGGAGGTGTGGTGGATGTAGCGTGCCGGGATGCAGGCGCATTGTTCCGAGTCGCCCACGCCGACAGACTCGGATGAATTGAAAAGGCATTTGGATGCATACGTCTGGTGTACTTGACGTGTGTTTACATATATTTCGAACAATTATATATGTGAGTGGTGACGAAGGGAGTTTAATTTAAAATGTATTGTTGTTGTTGCTGCTATGAAGACTCCTCATACCATTGTCACGTTCTGTCGTGTGACTGTAACCGCATACACATCCTGGGTGGGGGGAGGTGGGGGGATTGGTGGCACAGCTTTTAGCGCGCTGCGTTTTGAACCCTGTCGGCTGAGTTCAATTCCCGGTCATAACGGCGGCGTCGGCGACATCCGATGAGCCCCCTTCACCAACCAGTACTGACCGAGGTGGTGAAGTATGGTCAAACAACTTTCGAGACCGACACAATGTGGGAAGGCCTTCATCTAGCTGTGGATGAACAGAGAGCTGCAAGTTGTATATTATTGACAATCGTGCTATCGATACAAATGCAGAATTGTATCGCGTGTATTTAACGCAGGATGTGAACACTCGTCTTGCTGTGGTCGTCGCTGTATCGCAGGCTGAGTTGGTGTCCACGCGATCTGTTCTCTCGTACACGCAACTTAATGTCGCCACCACCCTGTGTATGACAAGGTGCCATGGCCCGAAACGTTGCCTATTGTATGTTTAAAGTTAAAATGTTAAAGCCACACACTGTTGTTATCGACACGAGTTGTTGTTTGTGCATCGCTGCCAACACAGCAGCATCGTACAGAGCGCGCATTGTGCCTCACGCGGATAACTCCACTCAGATTTCAACAATATTATCATCGTTTTGTTTTTATCTTGATGACATAAGTTACAATAAATGTTTCGACGTTTCGGCCTTGCTAGCCTTGGACACGAACACTCGATTTGAGCAGAGACGGATGTGCGAGACGTGTAGGCACACACACACGCACACACGCACACACACACGCATACCGCTGTGTGGTGTGTAAATGTGCGTAGGGTCTATGTATACGTGTATGTGAGTGTGTATAGCACTGGCCCCAAAATTATTTTAAGACTATATATAGATGTTTGTATTTTTGCCTGTATATGTGTGTACGGGTATTTATGTCAGTATACACGTGTATATGTATATGGGGATGCATATCTGTGTGTATATGTGTATATATGTACTCGCTAACAGCACTTGCTCCCACTGTCTGGCAATGCTACGAGGATGATCTTTGTCTTTGAATATATTTGTGTGCGTGTACACTTGTTTTATATGTTAATATATTTTGTGTGTGAACATTTGACTGTATACGTGTGTGTACATGTGTGTGTATATATATGTGTGTGTCTGTTTTATATCTGTACATGTATGTGTGTATCTGTGTGTTTGTATGTATATGTGAGTGTATATATTTGTATGAGGAGCTGTAGTCTGCGTGGTTAACGGACTGCGCTACGAACACCGGCGAACCGGAGTTCAATTCCCGCTCGCGATAAATGAGTGACTGTGGCGAATATTTGAACCAGTCTTGGGCTTCCCCTAAGTCGCCTCAGCCTGAAGTGAGTGGCTGGTGCGGTGCGTGAACATCAGCAGTGGGGAGACAAAGGTGGCCGGGCGTGGTGCTGGTCACCCACCCCCCGTCGTGTTCAGTGTTCCGTGTAGCCCTTCATAGTTGCTCGCTTTACAACACTTGCCCCAACTGTCTGCTAAAGGCGACACGGGAGATGCGTGTTAGTTGGTATGTACTTGTAGGCGTGTGCGTGTGCACGTGTGTGTTGGTATACTCGGGCGAGTCTCCGTGTGTATTTGTGGGTGTGTGTCGTTGAGCGCCGCGCAACATCCACCCGCACGACCACGCGCGAGGAGCCCCCTGCCC